TCAGTGGAGAGTTGTCAAATAAACTTTTCCATTTTCTTTTTCAAAATTACCTATTAGGTCCTGCTGTATCACCCCTATCAAAACATAAGCTTCTTGACAGAAGGAGATTCCCCTGATTTCTTCTCTGCTCTTTTTCCTAAGAGCTTAGAACAGTACCTGGCATACAGAAGGCATTGGATCTTAATAAAGTAAATAGTTCAAACTCTGAGAATGCTTTAATTCCAAAAAATACTGAAAATTCATTAGGTGACATGGGGTTTCATAGTATATTCAGGTCTTCCCTGTTTCCTCCCTGAGCTTCTGCACTGGGTTAAGTGACTACAGTAGCCTATTTCACAGGTGTCCTGCTACTATGGAAACCAATTTCTTTTTTTTCACTTTCTTCTCTCTCTGACTAAATTCTGAGTTCTACTGGGGCACTCGAGGTATTGCATTCATCTTTGTACCTCCAGCATAGAGCAACCTGGCACAGTGTACATATAAAAAAAAAAAAAATGGTTGTGGGCTACCTGGGTGGCTCAGGCTCAGGTCATGATTCCAGGTTACTGGGATGGAGGCCCACATCAGACTCCCTGTCAGCTGGGAGTCTGCTTCTCCCTCTCTCTCTGCCATTTCCCCTGCTTGTGCTCTCCCTTTCTCTCTCAAATAAATAAATAAACTTTAAAAAAAAAAAGATGTACAGAACTGCCATTTTTTTTTACATTTTTATGTACCTAAATTTAAGTTCCAGCTCAGCCACTTATTACCTTAGCCAGTTACAGAACTAATTTGTTCATACACTAAGCTTCAATTTCCTTATCTAAAAATGGAGTACAACTATGTGGTCTACTTTGTGGCATTTTCATAAGGATCAACTGAAATAATACATATAAACTATTTAGTTACATGCCTGGCCAATAAGTGCATAGTAAATGAAAGCTATCGTAATTCATAAAATAACTTCTTCACTATAAATAATGGTCAAATTAAAGATAACATATAAAATATATAATGTTCAATTTACAAATAGACTTCTCTCAAGGAAGAGATATAATTCTTAAAAAAATGTTTATTGATCTTTTGGTTACTTTTAATCAAATCGTATTTATCTCATTTCCTATTCTGAAATCCCCATGGAAAGAAAAACTTCCAATAAAGAAAATGCGGCTTTAAGTTGTACCTTTCTTTAAATCACATTTATGATGAGCACTGGGTGTTATTCTGTATGTTGGCAAATTTAACACCAATAAAAAATAAATTTATTACTTAAAAAATAAAATAAAATAAATCACATTTATGAATCCACAAGCAAATCTTTTAGAAAAACATAACACATTTAAAGAGGAAAGTGGTAATATTCTCATTAACATTAGAATATTCAAACCACAAAATAGAATGTAAAAAGTTTTAAGACACTGTAAATACTCTACACAAATTTAAAAATTTAGAAACTACCAACAATCATTTTTGCCTACGGCTACAATTATAAAAAAAAAAAAAAAGGCAGGTGGGCAGCCCCAGTGGCCCAGCGGTTTAGCGCCACCTTCAGCCCAGGGTGTGATCCTGGAGACTGGGCTCTCTGCAGGGAGCCTGCTTCTTCCTCTCCCCGTGTCTCTGCCCCTCTCTCTCTCTGTGTCTGTCATGAATAAATAAATTTAAAAATCTTAAAAAAAAAAAAAAAGGCAGGTACATGTCTGAAACAGAGTAAGCAAATGGGAAAAGTAGCATAGGAAGATACCAAAGAAGTAAGGTGGGAATCATATCATATAGGCCCTTACAGGATATTATAAGCTTCTGTATACCAATGAAATGGGAACCCCGGGACAGATTTGATAAGCCAACTGATATGACATTGTTCAGGATTTAAGTAGTTAATATTTCTGTGTTAAAAATATGCTGTAGAGGGTCATGGTGAAGCATGGAGATCAATTAAGAGTTGCAATAGTCCTATAGTCCTATGACTACTGTGGGAGCCCAGGTGAGATTTCAACTAGTGTGGGACCAACAAAGGTAATAAGAAATGGTCAGTTATTCCAAGTACTTTACTTTGAAGAAAGAATACATGGGTTACAAAATGAATTGCAGATAAAAAAAAAAAAGTAGTCAAAGACCATTCCAAAGATTTTGGACATATGGATATGCCATCAGTTAAGAAGTGGAATACAGTGGGAGGAGCAGGTTTGGAGGGGAATATCAGCAGTTCAGTTTTGAATATACTCCTTTGTTAAATTCTACCCATCATCCAAGGTGAGATGTTTGATTTTGAAGTTTAATATATGAGTCTAAAGTTCAGACATGAGGACTAACTTTGGAGATAAATTTGAGAACTGTGAGTACACAAGTGGAACTTAAAAGCACAGTACTAGTTGTAATTACCAAAGAAGATAATGTTAAAAGAGAGGAAAAGATGTCCAAGCACTGATCCCTGGGTCTCTACTTTAAAGATTGAGAACATGAAAAGGAATCAGCAAAGAAGCACCAAAGAAGGGATCCCTGGGTGGCGCAGCGGTTTGGCGCCTGCCTTTGGCCCAGGGCGCGATCCTGGGGACCCGGGATCGAGTCCCACGTCGGGCTCCCGGTGCATGGAGCCTGCTTCTCCCTCTGCCTGTGTCTCTGCCTCTATCTCTCTCTCTCTCTGTGTCTGTGACTATCCTAAATAAATAAAAATTAAAAAAAAATTATTAAAAAATTAAAAAAAAAAAAAAAAAAGAAGCACCAAAGAAGCAGGGGGAAAACCAAATCAATGTTGGGGGTAAGGGAAGAGGGAAGCATTTCAAATTGGAGAAAATGATCAACTGTATCAAATGTTACTGCTAGGTCAATTAATATGTTGTATCTCTGGGGGTACCAGGGTGGCTCAGTGGTTGAGCATCTGCCTTTGGCTCAGGGCATGATCCCCGGGTCATGGGATTGAGTCCTGCCTTGGCCTCGAGTGGGGAATCTGCTTCTCCCTCTGCCTATGTCTCTACCTCTCTCTATCTCTCATGAATAAAATAAAATCTTTAAAAAATGTGTTATCTCTGTGGTAAGGCTGTCACTGATATCTTCTATTCTTTTCTCAATCCCAGTGAGTATCCTTATGATCTTTGCTTTATTTTTTTTAAGATTTTATCTATTTATTCATGAGAGACACAGAAAGAGAGAGAGGGGGGCAGAGACATAGGCAGAGGGAGAAGCAGGCTCCCATGCAGGGAGCACGACGTGGGACTCGATCCTGGAACTCTGTTCAACTGCTGAGCCATCCAGGCATCCCATGATCATTGCTTTAAATTCTTCATTAGTCATGTTACTTCTTTCTGTTTCACTTAAATTTGTAGCTGAGGTATTATCTTGTTCATTCCTTTGGGATAAATTCCTTTGTCTCTGCATTTTCTCTAAGCCTCTCTCCTCTGTGTATTAGAAAAGTCAGTCATATCTCCTGCTCCTGAAAGTAACTGCCTTATGAAGAAAAGGTCATGTAGTGTCCAAGGCCTGGAGCTTCAGGGAGTGTCTCTGCTGTGTGCTGCATGTGCCCTGCTATTGTGTTTGAGTTGCTCTAACCTTCAGGCCAGTGTTCTGCAGAGCCTCTCCTTGCTTTCTGTGGCCAGTGTTTGGACTCTGGCCTGAATGTGGGGAGTTTAACCAGGTGTGCTCTGGTCTGCTTATGAAATGAGGCTTGTCACCACCTCCACTGGAACTGAGGCCCTATAAAACTCCCTGGTCAGGAGATGTGGTGAGGTCAGGGATTTATGTTGGTCTTCTGAGGTGAGGCCCACCATGCTGGTCCTGTAGCAAGCCTGAGAAGGGTAGTTCCAATAATGCACAGAGGGGTGGGGCTTGGTGTAAGTAAATTATGCAGCCAGTGTTGGTGCTCTTCTGCTTCCAGCAATTGGCTCACTTTTTATGGTGTTATGTGTGGGGGAGGGGAATGGCTCCAGCCAGCTCCGTTGTTCTCAGAGAGGTGTCTCAGTGAATGCAACCTCTCAGAGGCAAACTCAGAGGATAGCAAATAATCCCCATGTGTTCCAGGTGCTCTTCAGATCACTGTTTCCATGCCATCTGTCCCTGGGTTGTTTGCCTACCTTCTCTTCAAGAGCAGGTCAGTGCCCTCAGGGCTCTATCCAGCCAAGTTTGCTGACCTTCAAAACTCCAGGCTTTAATCCCTGCTGGTTCAGGAACTCATGAAATTCAGCCCCTCTTATCTTCCAAGCCAATGGCTTTGAAGAAACATTCTTCATGTGCTTCCTCCTAAGTGCTTTTCTTTCTTTCCTTTCCTTTCTTTTTTCTTTCCTCTTTCTTTCTTCCTTTCGTTCCTTCTTTCCTTCTCTCTGCCTGCCTGTCTCTCTCTCTCTCTGCTTCTCCAGACCAAAATTCCCTCCCTTCTTTAGTAGCTTTGATTTAGTTTTCCCCTAAACCATGTCTCTGCACTTCCTATCTTCTTTGATATGGCCTCTTCTCTCCCTTTAGTTCTAGAGTTTGTTCTCTCAGTCTTCAGGTCAATTTCTGAGGTATTTAGAATGATTTGATAGTTATCCACTTCTGTTTCTGTGGCAAGTTGAGCCTAGGCCCCTCCTATTCCACTGCCATCTTCCTTCTCTTTCCAGGCACTGTGTCTCGTCCATTTTGTTTTTTAATTTTTTACCCTCTGTCTTCCCAACTCTATTTCATATACCCAATAAGATAGCTTGTGTTGCTTTCAGCAAAGTGAACTTTGACCTGTTTTATTTCACAGAAATGCAAACAAGTTAAAAAACTAATTTAAAAAAAAATGAATTCAATGTGCCAAAGACTACAAAATACTAGAGAATACAAATAAATAAGTAAGAGAGCTCCTGCTTTCCGGAGTCCATTGTAAAAGTAATAGTCAGGTTTGGATGTTTTTCAAAACCCAGATACTTCTGAAAATAGTTCTGTTTTATCAACAGGTTTCTGTTCTCTCCTTTACATGATATAAACACCGTCTATACAAACATCTACTTAAAATCCCATGCTACTCTGGGCACATACATTTTAAAATTACAACAAGTAGGGGTTTAACTTACCATCATTTTTTCAAAAAGATCCAGTACTTCTTTTTCTGACAAATTCAAAGATCGTTCATCATATAATGGTTGAGCTGCTGGAAACTCACTCATTGCAACTTGAGAATCAATGGGATGTTGAATAAGAGGTTTTTCTTTTTTGACTGTAGATTTTCTAAAACTTGTAATTCGGTCACGCTACAAAGAAAAAAATAAGAAACTCTAAGAGAGGGATCCCTGGGTGGCGCAGCGGTTTGGCGCCTGCCTTTGGCCCAGGGCGCAATCCTGGAGACCCGGGATCGAATCCCACATCGGGCTCCCGGTGCATGGAGCCTGCTTCTCCCTCTGCCTGTGTCTCTGCCTCTCTCTCTCTCTCTATCATAAATAAATAAAAATTAAAAAAAAAAGAAAGAAACTCTAAGAGAGAAACCCAGAATCACAAATACGAAGTACTGAAACATAAAAATAGCACTTAGTATAATATATATTATTGTCTTTTGACAGACTCTTACTTTAAGCAACAAGCTCCAGTTAGAGATTGTACAACTTTGAAAATTTATAGTAGTTTTTCAATCCCGGAAGTCTGAGGTGTGAAAGTATTCCTCAAAAGTAAACCTTAGTCTTTTATTATTTTTATTTACATAGTAAGTAGGTAAAAAAGAAAAAAAGTCCTGCATTAAAGTCATGTGGTTGTTTAAAGGAGAATATGGCTTTGGCAGCAAATTTGAACTATGATAAATAAAGAAAGTAAATAAAAAGAACCCTAATATTTAATTCTAAGGGGGAAATTAGAGTAATGTTTCCCTCTTCAAAGTGCCAAAAACTGTGACAAGTATCTATGGATACTTTGTCAGCATAGTGTTCGAGTATAATGATGGAGAACATCAACTCTGAAGCCAGACTGCCTGGGTTTGAACCTGTCATTTACTACCTGCGGAATCCTATGCAAATTATGTGTATTGTTTCCTAATCTCTAAAACATGGATAACAAGGGGAGACTGGCTCAGTTGGTTAAGTGTCTGACTCTTGATTTTGGCTCAGGTCATGATCTAGGGGTGATGAGATCAAGCCCCACATAGAGCTCCATGCTCAGTGGGCCGTCTGCTTGAGATTATTCTTTTTCTCTCTAAATAAATAAAATATTTAAAATACAGATAACAAGTTAATATATGTTAAATAAATAAATATTACCTATACCACAAAGTTATTCTGAGATTTAAATAAGTTGATATGTTTAGTGCACTCAGCTGCTATTTATCATTATTGTTACTATTACTTCCCTTACTTTTTTTCCCTAACATTGGGGGTAACAAGACATCACCTTTTCCGCTTAATGGCAATGTTAACATACATAGAAATATCTTCTTCCTACAAATACTATTATGAGAAACCTGATGTTTTATGGATATTGACTCTAAAACTTTGATTCCATGTACAATCTCTAATAATTAGCTTGCTGTTTCATATAAAGTGTACTAATGACTCCAGGTACATGTAAACAGCCCAATCTGTTTTAAACCACAAAACATCACACCTCAAAAATCAGTAATGATTTCTGTTAGAAAGCACATGCATACCATCAAATCATGTTAAACAAGCAAACATGTTAGATGTGAGGACAGTAATCTTCATTGCCATGTTACTGAGTCCTTACAAATTATTTCAAAAATACAAAATGCATCACAGAAGTTACTACAGCAACTTATAAAAATTTCTGTTGATTCCATCCCCCCAATTAAAAGAACATACTTTTCAATTTGATTCAAAGAACATTTTTTTAATAAAATGCTATACTTTGACAGAAATATGAGCAGTTTTACGTAGCTTATTTAGGATTACAAAAATGATTTCAGTACATGGTATCTTACAAAAAGATTATATAAACCATTGTGTTTTAGAGCTGGAAAGTAATCTGAAAAATCATCTAGACTAACTCTCTCATTTCACAGAAAAAGTGACTTGCTAAATTTATTAAGTCCCTGGTTCCTATCCCAGTGTTTACATTAAGATTCATTTTTTTCAAATTATCTTGAACTATATTCCAATTTTCTTTTGACTCCTTGAGGAAAATTACATTTGTTTAGATATGTAGTATATTTTCAAACAAGTCAAGAAAAAATATTAAGTAATCCCAAATAGGCTAGAGTATATATCCAACAATCAAATTTCACTAAAAAATATGGTGGACATAAAAGCATTTAAGTATGCAATCGACCATTAACTCAATATATCTCTGCTCCTGTCCCTTCATGACACTTCTGCAGTGTTAGCTTTTTACAGACTAGCATTATTTACAGATATACTTGATCTTCCACTATGCCCTTCATTTCTATCTAGAAAACTGGTTTTTTCAGCTATATCTTAATAAGAAAATGAAGTCAAGCTATATGCTTTTACCTCCTTAAATCACTAATAATTTTTACATTACTTGTAATTTCACAAAGAAAAAATTGACACTGTTTAAAATACTATGTTTTAAGTTTAGCTATAAAAGGGCACACTTAAATGTTAAACCCATAACTTTTAAGTTTTATGATAGCCTCAGGTCAAAACATGTAAGAATTTTAAATTTAATAGCACTTACCTAACATAATAAACTTGGCTTCCTTTCTATTTTAAAATAATTTCCCCCAGTATTGCTATTAATCTTCTACTTAATCACAGTTTATTTGGCTATCAAAAAAAATCTGTATTTTCTAGAGTTAGCTTTATAGACATACAAAAAAATATTCTGGTTAAGGTATATATCAGGGTAATATCAAAATTTTATTGAGCTCTCATATAATTCTTTACTTTGATATCCAAAAAGAGAAAAGTCACGCTCTTGACAAATCTTCTGTTTTTCTGTACTTTGTAAACATCTAGATATTTTATATCTTACATACATCAATGCTTTAATGTCCACCCACTTTAGTAAAAAAGCAACATGCATAAATAACATAACAACATGCTACTAAGACCACCTTACCACATCATCTGCCAAAGTTTTTATTTGAATGTTCTATTAAAACCAAAAGGAAAAAAAAAAAAGAAAACCTGTCAGATAAGAGAAATTCATAGATCAAACAAATTAATAATTTAATTATACCCATTTATTTTATTAATCATAACTAATCAAAAACAATTCACAAGTTTAAATAAATAACCACATACATTCTTTACAAAAGGAAAAAAAAACTCTTTAAGGAGATTAAAAATGAAGACTTGGATGGGGATGTCTATTTGTTTTAAAAGATGACTAGCAAAGTCCCAAAGTTAAATTTGGATCAGGCATCATTACCATAGTGCTCAAACATGAGAAAAGATATATCAAAGTCATAAGCCCTTTCAAGTTTTTTCAAAATTTTAGAATGAGTCATGTTTTTTAAAAAACTAAATTTTAAAATAGAAGAGGAAAAATGTTACATTTGATAGTAATGAAATAAAATGAAATAGCTGAGTCTAGAATTCAGTTAACATCTTATAGATAATTAAAGGACATATTTATAAATATTCTAGATCAAACTGAATTAACTGATTCTGTTAATATATGTCCATTTCTCAAAAATTCCAACACTTGTTTTTTGCCTGTGGTTCTCTATTTCTAATACTGAGAAACACTTCAAATGGTGTATCCTAGTTAATAAAATACAGTACTTAAAAACTACCACACAACAAAATGGGCACCATTATTTGAGGAATTAGACTACAGCAATACAAAAGTAATAAGGCAATTTACGGTAAAGCAAAATAATAATTAATAATTTAGTAAAATTCCATGATTCAGAAGATAATTCAAGATCTTACAATAACATATGATCAGATGAAAGGCAGCTATTATATTGTAAGTATGTTGAAATGCTACTTAAAAATTATGATTAGGAAGGAAAAAGATTTGTTTAAAAATGACCTCTTAAGAATTGAAATTAATCTTTCTGTCATATCCTATACATTTATGTCTTCCAAAAGAAGCTGCGTTATGTGCATCAACTTGGTCAAGCATGCTCGCATCCCTTTTTACTAAGAAAAATGTGGTCATACCACTGGTAAGGAGAATTAATTATGAGTTCTAAGTAAATGAAAAGGATTTGGTCTCAGGATCTCATGAAATTGTCTCAAATATCATCAATCAAATGCTGTTAAGGATCATCCTCCTCTGGATCAGTTGGAACAAATACACTATTATATGTATAGTTCTTTTTCTACTTTTAATCCATTGATTCCCTCAGGGACCTACACTTCTACATTTTTGTACTATGCCTTCATCACATCAATCAAATTTTATTGCCTCTGGGAAAAAAAAAGAAGGAGGAATATTTATAACAGAACTGAAGCCGTTTTAAGAGAGATTAATTCACTGTAAGACTATCTCTATATATTTCCTCTTAAGTTTCCTACTGAGTTAAAATCTTTATGCATAAAGGCAAGCTTCATGATTGCCAGTAATGTAATTTCAGAGTGAGAAATGTCAAATTTTCAACTACCATGCCACCATCCGGATATGTACCTGTCCACCTGTGGTATTAGTAGGCAGATTATACAGTTGTTCAAGCAATTATTTCTTTTCTTTCTATCCTTTAGGGATATAAACTCAAAATTAAAGACACATCAGTATCTTCAAAGTGAAAATATAAATTAAGGGAAAATACAATGTGATTTGGTCAATTTATCTGACTTAAGGTACAAATATATTTGGAATGGTTTGAATTTATATTTCAATTGAATGTATGGTGACAGTTTGATCATGGGGGACAGAAACAAGAAAAAAGTTATTGTTAGTAATATTTCCACCTTGTCTTACAGGAAGAAACTTGAGTTTTCTTCTCTCACCCTACTCTTTTTTATGTAATCAACTTTTTTGTCCATACTTAATTACACAGTATGGAGTTAGAGACTATTAAAGTTGGATGGAATTTATAATAATCTGGTCAAAATCTCTCAGTTTACAAATAATGAAACTGAAACTTGAAGAGGCTAAATGACCTGCCCAAGGACCACAGATCTATCTGGTTATGACTATATACTAACTCTCAGTCAACATATAAACTTTTCAGTTATTATAATCAAGATCTAGGATACTAGGATTGAATTACTGAATTGAAACAGTTCGTGGTAAACTCAAGTTCACAGGGATCCCTGGGTGGCGCAGCGGTTTGGCGCCTGCCTTTGGCCCAGGGCGCGATCCTGGAGACCCAGGATCGAATCCCACGTCAGGCTCCCGGTGCATGGAGCCTGCTTCTCCCTCTGCCTGTGTCTCTGCCTCTCTCTCTCTCTCTGTGACTATCATAAATAATAAATAAAAATTTAAAAAAAAAAAAAAAAACTCAAGTTCACAGATAATCCATTTAGGTAACTGCCTTTTCCCATCATTAACCAGGAAGTCAAGTATCTTACCAAAGAGAATTCCCCTGGCACCCAAAGTCCTTCCCCAACACATTTTACATGTAATCTACAGAACTCACATGTGGCTGATTGGTTATAATTCACATAAATTGTATATGCAAATGAATTCTTAAATTTTACCTTCCTAATTACTCCTTAATACTGCCAAAATTCTAAGAGACCACTTCCCTAAGCTTTCAAGGAGGATGGCAGGAGGAAAAATGAGTATACAATTAATAACCCAGTGGAAACACAACATGAGCACAAAGAGGTAAAGATACTGTTTCAGAGGGTCAGGACAAACTCTCAAAAAGGAGTATAATATTATGTTAATGGTACTATCTACATTCCATTTATCCAGGTTTAAGACTTTCATGTTACTCCTTCATTCCCTATAGCCAAGCAGTTGTCAGGTCCCACAATATATGTTCTATAATTTCTTCTTCATTCTCACACAAACTATCTCTTTTTAGATTCTAATCCCTGGAAACAGCTATCTAATAATTACCTCTGTTTCCATTCTCTCCTCATTGCCAAAGTAATCCTAAAGGGAAGATTCAGTTCAAGCCATCATCACCTCTTACCTAGATTTCTATAATAACATCCTAGCCTGTCTCCCTGCTTCCATCTTTACCATACTAGTTAATTTTGAACATATCAAAGTGATAGTGGTAAAACCAAATGTGATAGTGTCACTCCTTTGCTCAAAACTTTCCAACAGCTCTCTACTTTATGAAGCATAAGTCAAAATCCTTCCAGCACCCTACAAAGCCCTCCTGATCTGTACTCTCTCCAGATCCCTCTGACCTCATCTCCTACTACTGTCCCTTTAATTCCCTCACCTACAGTCACAGTGACGACTTCACTGTTCTTCAGTAATGCAATGCAGTCAGTCACATGCACTAGCTCTTCCCTCTGACAGCAATGCCCTTTTCCATTTCCATATTTCTATATCCATTACTCCATAATCCCTCCTTTTGGAGTTTTTTGTTCAGTGAGACCCAGTCTGTCCACCCTATTTAAATGGAAACATGGAGGTTGAAAGATGGCAATGGAGTAGAGGACCCTAGGCTTGCCTTATCCAATGAATATAACTAGATAACTATCAAATCATCTTAATACCCCAGAAACTGACTGGGGTATTAAATGAAAACTGATAGAACAAACTCCACAACTAAAGAAAGAGAAAAGACCACATCAAAGAAGGTAGGAAGGGCAGAGACACAGTTTGGGAGAAAAACAGATCTTAGCCTCTGCAGTGGGGAGGGAGCCAGAGAAAGGGAAAAGACATACTTACACACAGGGGAGCACATGGATAAAAGAAATCCCTCTAACAACTGCCTTGGAAAGTGAGAGGAGCTGAATTTCAATTTGGAGACTTCTGACAAGCAGCACAGTTTAAAGCCTGGAGTTTTAAAGGTCAGTGGGCTTAGCTGAGCTAGACCCCGAGGGCATTAGGGCAGCTCCTGGAGAAAAGGCAAGCAAAAGATGTGCAGACATACAACATGGAAAAAGCAATCTGAAGAACAACTAGGGTACATGGTGGGGAGGTTACATGCTCATTTCAGAACACATCCCAGAGAGGAAGAGTTTAGAGAACTTCCAGAAACAAAGAAACTGTCAGGTGCCATTTCCCTCAACTGCCTCTCTTCCTAAGGACAGGGAAACCTATGGGAACCAACACAGTGTTAACACTCACTACCTAACTTACGCCAACCTGCCCAGGACACCCTGGTAGAACCACACCTCTGGAAATGTCAGTGTCACTTGCCTGAGCAGCAGGACTTTGAGCCTCCTAACCTAGAAGGCTAGTCCAACCCCTGCTCACATTGCATCTCCTGACTTGGAAGATTTGCTGTCTCAGTTTTGGCGGCAGTGCAACAAGAAGATCAGAACACACCTAGTCAAAATGAGCCATATTCAGTCCGGGAACAAAACAATGCCACAACAAGGCAAAGACAACCTCTACAGACAACTGGCCTGAAAGAAAAAGTGGCCAGCACAAAATAGCACAGCACATGTAGCACTACATATAAAGACTTCTTTATAATGCCATTACCCACAAGAACAGGAGACATACCTGACTTTCCTAACACAGAGAAATAAACAGAGACTTAAACTCAGAAGACAGAGAAATTTATACCATATGAAAGAACAGTACAAGATGACAGCCAGAGATCTAGGTGAAACAGATATTAGTAACCCACCTGATGTAGTATTTAAAGCAATGATCATAAGGACACTCACTTGGCTTGAGTAAATAATGGAAGACATGAGTTAGACCTATAACAGAGATGAGGAATAACAGCAGAGATAAAGGACATACATGAACTGAGAAACATGCTTTCTGGAAAGAACAGGCTAGAAAAAGTGAAGGGAGAAATTAATGACCTAGAAAGCAGAGAAATGAAAAATAACCAAGCTACATAAAAGGGAGACAAAAGAATTGTGTAAAATGAGAACAGAGTGATGCCCTCAAACATAACATTTATACTATATGAGTCCCAAGGAGAAGAAAAGAGTAAAGGGGGTTGAAAATTTATTAGAAGAAACAAAACTGAAAACTTCCCTAATCTAGGGAGGGAAACAGGTATCCAGATTCAGGAGGCAGAGTAAAATCCCATCAAAATCAACAAAAGC